AATAAATTATTTTATCTTTGTTTAACATCTTAATTCGGCATAATCTTTCTTCGTATACATAACTGATCTCCGTAGGTCATGTACATTTATTTTGCGCGCATTTTTTTTATTTTCTTTTAAAATCACCATTCTTTATGATCCCTTGCATAAAGTCAATCTTGAAAGACATTAGGGAACTCATGTAATATTTCGAATAAGTCACAGTATACGTCCTAGAAAAAAAACATATGAGCAACGTACCGTGCCCCACTTAAGTTTTAATTATGGTTTAATTAGACGATATTAATTGCAATTGCGATGAAAAGTGAAATTAAAGTTAAACATTTAATAAAGAATTGTTTTTTAAAACTTTTACTCTGTTCGTTATTTAAATTTAACTTTAAATGAATTATTTTTAATCGTGTGTAACTATAGTAACTAATATCTTTTACTTCAGGTTTTTTTTATGATTCACCGAGACGGACGGACGGACGGACACACGTACACTGCGCTTTATTTTTAAAGATATTAATATCCTGAAATGGTACAAATGAATACCTCAATTAAAGGGTTATGGTATTAAATATGAAATAAGACGGTTTTAGCTATGCCTGGTCAACGAATTTGACGCGCCAAAAATTCTCCAAATCGACGGTCAGCTGAAATAAAAAAATAAATATAAATAAAATCAAAGAATTGTTTTTTAAACCTTTCACTCAGTTCGATATTTAAATTAAACTTTAAATGATTTATTTATTTAATTTTTAATCGCGTGTAACTAAAGTAGTTACTTCAGGTTCTTTATGATTCACTGACATCGAAAAATGGACGGACGGCTAGACGGACACACGGACACTGCGCTTTATTTATAGAGATATTAATGACTGTTTTTAGTTATGCGTTGGGTTGAATCTATTATTTATTTAATTTTTATTCGCGTGTAACTATGGTAGTTAATACCTCTTACTTCGAGTTGTTTATGATTAGCTGAGATTGAAAAGCGTATGGACGGACACACATACACTGAGTTTTATCTGTATAGAATTCTTGCTTATTTCTTAGAGAGTTGCGTTTCCAGCTATCTTCCCTAATTCGTTAACAAAGAGCCTACCCTGATGAAAAAAGGACCCAAACTTGATAAATAATGTTTTTTGATTATATAAATGTTTATTTTATTATTAAGAGCAAAGACCAAAGTACTCTTTGATTATTTTTAAACATTTTTTAATTTTTTCTAACACGTTCGAATTTTTAATTAAAACATTTTTTTAGTCAGCAAAATTGTCATAAAATCGATCATGTCCACCATTTTAGACAAATTTGCAAGCAAGAGTGAAATTCTCTGTTTAAAAATCTTGTAAAAATCAATTATATCTTTCTCAGAAGTTATTTGAGGAAAATTAGAAAATTTAAAGTTTATTTAATGTAACTGAAAACAAGTATTACTTAATTTTTTAGCAGAAAAAATTAATTGAAAATAAAAGAAACATATCTAACTGTGGTAATTTTTTTTGAAAGTGTGAATTGACGTTTACGTGAATGTATCGACAACTAACGTCAGCTGAGGTTATCGGACAGAAGGACAGAAGTGACAGTATTTTCGAATTTTAAGTAAACCAGCTTAACTAACTATTCAGGAATTTTTTAAAATAATTTCACAAGTTTAATATTTTATTGATTTTTAGGTACTTTTTTCAACGAAGGTATGTCCAAAGCCTGCATTGATTCTGTCCCTAAAAATAAATGTAAAAAAAGAAAATAATTGATAATAGCAGTACGAAAAAAATAATTAAATTTAAAAAATGAAATTACAATATTTAGTGAAATAAAAAGAAAATTAAAAATTTTGAAAATGCGACGATGATGGTCAGTCAGATAATTTGACACGTGCTAGCCAGAAGGAAAGTAAAGTAATTTCTGAGGTCTGATACTCGTCATCAAGGTAAACATGTGACCTATCCTTTGTGAACCAAAGTTTTGGAGAATACGTTTTTAATATATGTTTTTGAATATAAAAAAAATTTTTTAAATACATTCGTGTCGCAGATTGTAATAAGCTTTCAAATTTATGATCTGTAAAAATAGATATTTTAATAGCAGCATTTTCAAAAAGACAAGAATTCAAACTTAAGTTTAAATATTAAACAACTTTATCACATTTTGTATTTAATACTGAAAAAAAAATTCTTGTAAAAATTCATTTTTCATCGGAAAATATTTTGGCTTCAGACAATAGTGTCCTTATCATAAATTATTCATAAAAGACATTAAAAGTTTCTCTAATTAAATAATGTCTTTTACAATTCGGAGCTGTATTTTGAGTAGCTACGCATTTCGATTTACAAAAAAAAATCGATGGTTTATATTCTTCAAAGTCTTCTGCTTTTAACTAATATAATCAATAAATTATACAAAGTGGAATTTTTGAGTTCTCATAAAATTAATTAAAGTGGGTTAACGGATGTAAAACAAAATATTTTTACTAAGACTTTCTAAAAACAAACATTTGTAAAATAATTTCATTGATTTGTGAATAAGTTCTGAAAGTTTCATTAAAATCCGATAATTATTTTATTTTTGCAAGAATTTCCAAATTAATGTGATTTTCAACTGAAAAAAGGAGCAAAAAAAAAAAAACTAATGGTAAATGTTACGTGACCACTGACGTAAAGAAAAGAAGACATTTAACCAAAATTTCGAACGTGTTAGAAATGATGAAAAAATTTTAAAAGATAATTAAAAAATATTTTAGTCTTTCCTCTTAATTATAACAAATATGTTGACGATAAAACTTAATTTTTATTAAGTTTGAGGCCCTTATTCATTATGTTATCCTGTTTTTTGGCAAATTAATTAAGTTGGTTAATTAATTTCTTTGGTTGTCACACATGGAATGACGCATTTTTGGTTGTCACACATGAAATGACGCATTTTTTGGTTGTCACACATGGAATGACGCATTTTTGGTTGTCACACAGGAAATGACGCAATTTTTGGTTGTCACACATGGAATGACGCATTTTTGGTTGTCACACATGAAATGACGCATTTTTTGGTTGTTACATGAAATGACGCATTTTTTGGTTGTTACATGAAATGACGCATTTTTTTTTTAATGATTCTTGATCCGTTCGTCTAACGAAGTATATATTTAAAAAATCTTGACTTATGACTTTCCAGATATTTTTCTTTCAATATATTCTTACTCACAAACCCAATGGGAATGATTACAATGAAACGATGTCAAGTTATTTTACTGTAGGAGTAGAAACTGGTTCATTCAGCCTCTGAAGGATTTGTGAATATCAAGGCGGCCTTTGGTAATGATATCGTTGAAATCAGAACTGTACAGAGATGGTTTCAGATGTTTTGTTCATGAGATTATAGTCTTGAAAATAAACCAAAGGAAAAATCACGATCGGCTATCAGACACGCTAAATAGAATGATTTGGTTGATCGAAAACTCGCATTAGAACTTGAACTCGTACAACTGTTTCACGATAGTTGAAATCAATTGATAAAAGTAAAGAAAGTCGATAAGTTTACTCGGCATGAACTGGATGAGACCGAAGAAGCCGTCACTTTGAGGTTTGCTTTCCGTTGTTGTCACGACTGGAAAATGAAGCATTTTTGCATCGAATCATTACAATGCTATGAGAAATGGATACTCTTTGACTAGGCCTGTGGTTAGATGCAAGTGAATCACCAAAACAATACCTAAAACCTCCACTACACCCTAAAAAATTAAGGATTAGTGTATGGTGGTCTTTCAAAGGGGTTATTCATTATTCATTCTTTCCTCATAGGAAAACAATAAGAGCATTCTCGTATTGCAGAGAAATTGAATGTATACTATATACATTATTAGGACTATTGTCCTCATCTTTGTCGCCATATTTATTACAATGTTTCAGCCTTTCAGTATCTGTCTATTTCTGAGATAAGGTATTATGTATACTATTTATATTATTCGGACCATTGTCCTCATCTATGTCGCCATATTTATTACAACGTTTCGGCCTTTCAGTATCTGTCTATATTTCTGAGATGAGATATTATGTACACTATTTACATCATTCGGACTATTGTCTTCATCTTTGTTGCCATATTTATTACAACGTTTCGGCCTTTCAGTATCTGTCTATATTTCTGAGATGAGGTATTATGTACACTATTTACATTATTCGGACTATTGTCGTCATCTTTGCCGTCATATTTATTACAACGTTGTACGCTCCGGCCTTCTTCAGGTGGTTGGAATGTTGAACTGAATCTTTTATTTCACTCACTTGGGTAGACTGTTCTAGTTACACGTGCCATGTCTAATGGATGTCAGTTAATAGTTATCTCCTGTTAATTCCCCTCTGAAAGTTCTTCACTGCCTTAACCGGGTATTGAACTCACACTCTTTGGGTCCTGTCACTGGATCTAACCAACGTCTTTATCCGCTGTGCCATGTGTCCTTGAATAAAGGGTTCAGTTTGACCAACCACCTGAAGAAGGCCGGAGCGTACAACGGCCGAAATTTTATCTCATCCTCCATATTCATCTGATATCTCTCCTACTGATTATCACTTATTTAAGCATTTTGAGCTTTTCATACGCAATAAAACATTCTCTAATACTGAAGAGGTAATCGAAGCATGTGAACTGTTTGTCATATCAAAGGATGAGAATCTTTTTAAAGATAGGACCAAGAATTTACAGGAACACGCTTTCACCAACATGGTGCCGATTTCAACTAAGTAAATTAGTTATTTAACATTTCAGTTAGCGTTTTATTCATTTCCTGTAAATTGTGTCATTTCATGTGTCACAACCTAATATAGGCGTGTCATTGTCAGTGCGTGGGCGTGCGTGTGCATTTGCTGGCATGTTTTTGTCTGTCTTTCCCAACTTCATACTGCGCATGCCTCAACGAATGCACTTTAGCGGTTAGCAAGGAAAAAAGAAAAAAAAAACAATAGTTGCCGTGATGTTTGAGGCGC